TCCGAGGGGAGAACTTCCCTCATGGAGGAGGCAGCCAGAGCACACGGGGAGAAGCTCTGTCCCCGGCCGTGCCTCCCTCCGACCAGCCTCAGACACAGGGCAGGGTTGCGAGGGTTACTGAAGGAGGCAGGTGGCTTTCTGGGTTGTTGAAAGCTAAAATCCATTAATTAGATGACAAACTTGGAAGTTGTCAAAACCTAAAATCCATTAATTAGATGACAAACTTGGATGGAGGGTGTTCCTGGAGGCGTCACAGCCCCCTCCACACAATCCTGACCCTCGCTAGCCAGCTCCCATGGAACTGGCCCACGCTGGGACAGCCGGTGGCTGGACCATGGCTCCCTCCCAGCCCCAGCTGTCGGGAAGGGCTGTGCTGGCAGGAGGAGCCCCCCTCTCCCACCGCCTCCTCCAGGGGCTGCCTTTGTTCCCACTGGCCTGGGGACGTGCCCCACACGCCGCAGCAGAAGCCATCAAGAGACGTGGCTGACCTTTGGGGCCCTGCTACAAACCAACCCCAGGCGAAGCAAAACATGTCTGTGCTCTCCCAGCACACCTTCACTGGTTCCCCGGACATCTCAGCAACACGCTGTGTCCTCACATCCACCACCGCCTGGCCAAGGCCCTTCCCTGAGAGTTCGAGCCAAAGAACAAAGCACTGGTGGGTTCAGGTCCTGTTCCTGTCGGTGGTAGGAATATTTGGGATCTGTTGCACCGAGGAGAAGCCATCCCTCCCAGCAGGGTACAGAGCACGGCCTCCATCGCTCCTGCCATTCCCCCTCCCTCCTCACAGCCCTGGTGGACGTGCTGTTTAAACCAACCCAGATCTTGTGTGACTTCACCATTCAGCCTGGGGATAAATGGGGCCTTGCTGGGTATGTTCAAAAGGGCTAAAACAAAACACTCTGGGACCTCAGAAAATTTGAAGAATAGCCCAAAAATGATGGAGCTCATGCCCCTGCCTCCACCTCTTCAGGGGGTCCCTCTGGGTGTTAGAGCCCCCAGCACGGGCCGTCCAGCCCCCTCCTGGGCAGCCCTTCCTCCAGCTGCTCCCCTCTGGCCAGGCACGGCCGCCACATCCACATCCGCATCTGCGTCCGCACAGCCCAGCCCCAGAGGGGAAGCAGACCCTTTGCCAGAAAGCAGCATAAATTCATAACACGAACAGCCCCCAGGGCATCTCCTGAGGACATCGGTTGCCTCGGGCCTGGGGCTGAGCATGGCAGGATCAGTAAATCCACTCGCCCACCAGCATCTGCTGCCGCAGAAGGAGAACCGGCGAGCAGAGCGCAGCGTTAGCACAGAGCAGGCTGTGTCTGGGCACACACAGCACTGCCTCCTGCCCTGAGCCCCCCCGGGCACACACACGCCATGCAGAGAGGGAATCACTGCACCAAATAACCCCACTAAAACATGTCGCGCATCTCCCAGCTGTCCAGCCCGGCTGCTCCCTCCTCCCTGTCCCCGCCATCTCCCCGTTACCGGCGTCTTTCCGCTCCTCTGCTCCTCAGAGCTCCCATCTCCTGCCGCACGCGTCTGCTCGGGCACCATCCTCCCCCTCCTGTCCCCGCTGCTCCCCGGCTCGCACGGCGCTATAAATACATCCCCGTACCTTCAGCTTGGCCGGGTGGCTTCGCTGTGCCTGCGTCCGGGGAGAAAGCAGCCGCTCCACTAACCGCTCCTGAATAATGATTGAGTCCATAACCGCGGCCGGCAGGACGGACAGCCACCGCGGGCCAAGGGAAAAAACCCCAACCCATGTATTCCCTCCCAGCCTTCGCTAAATCCATGCGGCAGCCCCCCCGCCCACGCATGCACACACACGCAGGGCTGGCTCGGCCGGCCTCGGCACGGCGGCCGGGCGAGGAGAGGCGAGGAGGAGGAGGAGAGGAAAGGCGAGGAGAGGGCTCCCACGGCAGCTGCCCGGGATTTCCTGCCTGTGCTGCGGGAGGAGCCAGCAAGGACAGGACAAAAGCCACCGTGGCCGCAGCGTCTCTCGCTCTGCCAGTGTCCCGCTGCGCACGAACAGGAGCCTGTCCCAGCCACGAGTCCGACTCCTTTTGTCAGCCCGGCTTATTCAGCTGGAGGATTTCTCAAATATCCCCACGGACGCAGCCGAGACAAAGGTTTGCTGCAAGGAAACCTGCTCGTGGCGAAAACGCACTGCTTCTGGTTGTGAGTGTGAAGGGCTAAAGGGTCCAGAAAGCTCCCCAGAAAAGCTGGGTCCAAACTTAACCCCCAGCTCCTGGTCCTGGTTGAGGTGGATCTGCCTCCCCGTGGTGCTGGTCCATCTGTTGTCTAGTCCAGGCTGTGTCGCAGCCTCACCTCCAAATCCAACTGGAACAGCAGCTGATGGATTCTGGACCTTACAGCAACCATTCCAGCTCTGCAGACATTTCAAAATAAAGAAGCATCTGTGTGTTTGTTAAGCACAAGTGCCCAGCCCAGCAACAGCCTGGCACGCACAGAAAAATCATTCAAACCTCACGTTTGGATTCTGAACCAGACCTGCTTCCCTCTGCAGCCATAGAAACTCACCAGGAATTCTTCTGAAACAGACAACAGCTGATCATCTCACATAATCACAGGATTCCAGGAACTGGGAGGTTAATATCACAGCAGGTATAATCAAGTCACACGGGACGGCAGCACCGGTGGTGCCGGAGGAACCTGCCACTTGCCACACGGGTTCCTGAGCAGCTCTCTGCTCACCCACGGGAAGGCCCAGACTGCTGCCACGCTCCTGCCCTGCTCCCACCACCGCTCCCACTGCTGCTCTGGGAACTACAGGTCTCTGGCAGGGGCTCCAGAGAGCACCCGGCCAGCAGGGTCTGGTCACAACCCAGGGCCTCCACCGCGCTCCCCAAGCGTGGCCGACAGCAGGTTCTGCCATAAGGTACCACGTTACTGCAAGGTCTCCAGTGACTTAAAGTCTGGGGGCAGCTGTGAGAGTGGAAAGATCTAAGAAACACACCACATGCTGGAAAAAAAAAAAAAAGGAAAGAAGGAGGAAAAAGAAAAGTGGTTTACCTATGCTGCCATCCTGCAAGCTGAGGAAAGGCAACCTCCAAAGTTGCAGGCAAGAGGACACCACCGGGGTCTGCAGGTTGTGCATGACTGAGGAGCAATGAAGGTCTCACACTGTCCACACTGAGATAACATAGAGGTTTCACCAGTCCTTCCTCACCATAAACCCCAATGGCTGCTCACAAACCCCTCTCCATCCCCCATGAATTCTCATGGCTTGGTAAACCCTTGTCTGGGGACCACAGGCCACATGGCCACCAACCACAAGCATCTTCCATGGGTACATGGAGACACGCTGTGTCCCCACAAGCCCACTGCACCAAATCAAAGCATTCTTCTGAGCTGGGATCACAGACGAAGTCAACAATGATTTGGTTGCAACAAAACCACAGTGTTGTTCATGGCCCCAGGAGCGGTGCTGACGGGGCAGAGAGGAACAAGGAGCTACTGTGTCCTGAGCGGCGTGAGCTCTCACACATCACACTTGCTCTCAGGACAGGCAGCCAGGGAGGAACTCCAGCCAGCAGGCCAAGCCTGGGAAGGCAGAGGCAGATCAGGAAAAGAAGCCCAGAAGGGTAGGTCCTGGCTATGGAGAGCATCTTAAGACTGTGTGGCCAACAATATGGCTTTCCAAATGCTGAAGGAGGGTCAACTGGTCCCATGCTCAGCCTCCTCTGCCTCTCCTACAGATGCTCATCTTGTCTTCTCTCCTATCCAGTCACCAAGCAGTAATGAGGGGCCGAGGACACGTTTGTGTCCCTCAGATGTGATGCTTGACACACCCAGAGCCATTGGCTCAGGTTGGTCCATGGGCAAATTTCCCAAAGACAGCCAAACCAGCCCGGTCCTTCCTGATTCCCCGTCCTGTTCCACACAGCCCCTGGAAATGCCCCACGTAAACCGTGGCTGCTCCTCCAACAAGAGATCTGATGTACGACCCCCAGGGTTTGGGCTCCCTGCTCTACCAGCAGCACAGCTGTGCACTCACCCCGATGTTCCTGCTGACCTGACCCAAGAGAAAACACCTTGCTGATCTAAACTCTGATGATTAATTTAACCTTGACCTTGCAAGCAAGGCTCTGTGTAAGCGGTTACTGGGAGCATCAGAGCCCTGACTCTGATGGCTTCATCCTTTTGATGCTCAGGGAAAAGCAAGAAACCAGACCAACACTGCGGAAATCCTGAGGCCCTGGATTAACCTCCTGTACGTACGGTGCCATGAGCACAACCAACCAGCAACCAGGTCCCTCTCTTTTCTTCTACCTACCCTGCAGGTCAAGCTTTAATTTCCGCTCAAGGATCACTGCTGCTTTGTCACATAATCCCTCCAGAAATCTACCAAATTCCATTTTAAAGGTATTTGTGCTCCCGCTCCACTTGAAGGACCTCACGCATCCCAGGAGGCACCGTGTGACTCACGCAATGCCTCCACTTCCAGCTCTGAAAAAGGACCATCCATGAACTGCCTCCCACTCGTTTAAACTCGTGACTCCCTCTGGGGCAAGTTCACAGCCCTTGTCACACCCGGCTCCTCTGCTCCTCATTTAGGATAATCTGCAAAACGTAAGGAATCGGGCAGATGTGGAGCTGGCGGGGACCCTTCCAGGGAACGCCGGGCTGCTCTCCCCTCCCAGGAGGAGCCGCTGCCACCAGCCCTTCCCTGTGTGGTACCGACACGTCCCACGGGAGGGAGAAGCTGCCCACAGAAAAGCGGGTCCTGCAGACAAAACGTGTCCCACGGTGGCTCCCCCCAACCAGGGCCAGGCAGAACCAACGCACAGATCAAATCCCCAGCCCTCGCTGCCTCCGCTCCACGGAGGGTCACAGGCACTTGGCACCTCTGATTGCGAGCACGTTCAAAACCTTAGCAAAGGACAGAGCTTTCCAAATTTAGCCTGCTCAGGCGGGAGGAGAAGGCAGGCGGCGCAGGAAGGTCTGCAGCAGGCTCTCAGCACCACCACTGCTCGTCTTTCCCTCTGTTCATCCCCCAGCTCTGCAGCACAAATCAGGCTTAAATAGATTCCCTGCCTCCCGTCTCAAAGCCACAGCTGGGAAAAGCAGCAAGAGGCAGAGCAGAGCCCTGCCAGCCCCGGGAAGCCAGGAACGGGAATGCCTGGGAGACAAACAGGTACACGTTGCTCCATGGCATGGAGACTGGCTGGGCTGGAAGCCCTTTGGAGAGAGAGGGTGGAAAATAATGGTGATTTATCCTCAGAAATGGAAGGGCACCGCTTCTCCAGCTCTCAGGTTCTCCATCCCACTGACAAGAGCATCCGCAGTTTTGGAAGCTCTTGATGCACATTAACAAACATGAACAGAAAGAGACTGGGGACAGGATCCTACAGAAGGTCCACTTTAAAGTTATAGGTAGTGGTCCCAATCCTGCGATCCTTACTCACCGAGTAGTCCCATTGAAATAGAGACGACTGCTCATGTGAGTAAGGGATGCAGGATCAGGCCTGTCTACCAGAGCGGCTGAATCCTGAACCAGAGAGGACATCTCGGCCCTGAGCATCCCCAGACACTCAGCCTGGTCCAGCAGGGGCAAGTCCTCCTCACCTTGGCCTTGCACCACCAGCTCCTCTGATGGAGAGAGCCCTGCTGAGAGGGTGCCAGGCTCTACCCTGCTCCCTTCGCCTCCCCCAGCTCTGCCCCTGCCCCACTGAGACGCGGCACAGCCATTCCCCGCTGCAGAGTGCTGCCCCTCGGAGCATGGGGCAGCGTCCCCGGCAAACACAGCCACGTGGCTTCCAGCCTTACCCGGCTCCCCACGACACGTGCTCGGCCATCTGCCATCCCGGGGGGACCCTCGGGACCCCTTTCCCAGCGCTGCCACACCACTCTGTGCAAACCTGGCTGCGCACATCAGCCTGCCCGGGGCCAGGCCCCGCCTCGGGACCCGTGTCTGTCTCTGCAGATGGATAATTAGATTCCATTTCCTTTTTTCTCCTGATGGTTTCTCTGGCTGGCAGTTCCCCCGCAGCCCTGCACGATCCAGCAGCATTAGTCAGAGGGAAATTCTGCTCCCTTCCTCCCCTGGATGTTGCTCTTGGGTCAATATAAACAGCAGAGTGAGCTGCGCAACAGCTGGAGTATGTCGTTGCAGAAGCCTTTGTCCTTTTCAGCCTGGCAAACACCTGCACCCTGCCCCTTCTCCTGACCGAGAGACAAAATGTGTGTAATTAAAATGTGTGATATTGTTGGCATTTGGGAGCAATGGGCTGCACTGGGGTGGCAGCACACCTTGCTTTCTGAGCAGTGCTGCAAACCACTCCTCTTGGGTAGGGCCAAGGGAAGTCCACCTGACCTGACCATCAGCAATGGCGTGAGATGGGCTCAGGAAAAGGTAACACTCTCCTGCAGGAAACCTGAAGCAGAGATGGAGCAATGATGAAATCAGGACAAACCAGAGCTGTCTGTGCCACAGGAGTGCGTGCCCAGATGAAGTCCTCACTGAGCACACAGATGCCTGTCCTTCTCCCCTGCCACCAAGCAGTGGCTTCCTGGGCAGTGGCACTGGTACCCGAGGACTGTTCCCAGTTCCTGGTGGCGAGGTGGCCATGCAGTGTTCACACCGGTCCTTGTGCCCTTCCAGCACAGCCACCGAGGCCATGGCTGGGGAGACGCCGTCAGAATGACCAGAAAGGGAACAAAGGGATGCTCTCCGACATCCTTCTCTGCCCATCTCCCCCACCTCTGTGCTCCAGCAAACACCGAGCCCGGTTGCACCTTTGCTGCACGAACTCACCACCTCTGTGCCTGGCAGTGACTGCAGATTCACCTTTTGTTACACACTGGGATGACGGGAGAAAACTTCAAGTCACAGAAAATATAAATCAAATTGTGCTGTCTGTCAAAGGGAATTTAAACAAAGTTTCTTCCAAGCTTAAGAGTAACCATCCGTAACT